TTTTCTTCAAAATCAAAGAGTAAATTGTAGTTCCAAAGAGCTTGAGTCTTACTGGAAAATGCAAGAGCCATAGAAAACAAAGTTGACAGACAATATTGAAATCCAGGCTCAATGTGTCACCAGGCTATATGTGACCTATTTCAAATGCAATAATTTATTTTATAAATTGTATCAATCATGATTTTTGGCTTATACTAATATAAAATGAAGTTTTTACTTTTTTTTTTTAGACTTTTTAGCTATATCTATTGCTCTCTTTTTTGATTTGGAGGTTTTTGAGTTTTTATTTATTTCTTGGTTTTGAGACAGGGTTTCACTCTATAACTTAGGCTGACCACTAACTAAATATGTAACCCAGGTCGGCCTGGAACCTCAATCCTCCTGTCTCACAGCTTCCTAAATGCTGTGATTACAGGTGTGAGCCACAACGCCCAGCTTTATAGAGTAGCCTACAAACGAATCAAACTTTTTCTTTTATAAAACATTTGTTAACTGGGGGGAGGGGTTGCTTATGCTCCACAGTTCAAGTGTGGAGGTCAGAGAAGAATTTGCAGCGATCAGTTCTCTCCTTCCACCACGTGGGTTCAGAGGACTGAACAGGCTTAGTGACCTGCACTATCCTCTGCTGAGCTACGGTCTTTCACAATGGGTGTCATTCTCTCTCTCTTTTGAATTTCTGTGCATTGGTTTTGCCTTCATGAGGATGGCAGGTACCCTGGAACTGAAGTTACAGATAACTGTGAGCTGCCATGTGGGTGTTGGGAATTGAACCCGGGTTCTCTGGAAGAAGAGTGCTCTTAACTGCTGGGCCTTCTCTCTAGCCCCTCTCTCTTTTTCTTAATGTTGCTAAGGAGCAAAATCCAGGGCCTCGGGCGTGTTTAATAAAGCCTTATTATTGTTGTACATCCACAGTCCCCAAAACAGAATTTGTTCTCTACTAGTAAGGGTTTTTTTAAACAGACAGGAAATTGACTTTCCATAAAAATATAAATAAAAGGGGGCAGGAATGGGAGGAGAGGAGGGAGGGGAAACAGGTTAGGATGTAAAATAAATGTATAAATTTAATTAATAAAATTATATTTATAAATATAAAATCCAGTTTTGAAATAGTAAAACTAATATAAATAGGATTTGTTATCAATAGAACTATATTTAGGGTAAAATTCAAATTCTAAAGTAGGGTATAATGGATCACCCCTGTAGATCTTAACACTTGGAAGTCTGTGGCAAGAGAACTGTCACCCGTTAAAGGACATTGTGGGCTATGTGGACCAGCCTAGACTACAGAGTGAGAACCACACCTATAATCTCAATGTTAAGGAAATGAGGCAAGGGCGTTTCAGCAAGATGGAAAACAACCTGTCCTACCTACCTAGTGAGTTACATGCCATCCAGGGCTACAGAGCAAGATCCTGTCTTAAAAGGAGGAGAGGGGGTGACGGCAAGCCAACAGAAAGAAGCCGGAGAGGTGGCTCAGCTGTGAAGAGCTAGCTGCTCACCCAGAGGACCCAGGTTTGATTCCCATCACCCACAGGGTAGCTTACAACTATCTGTGACCCCAGTAGCAGGAGATCGATGCCCTTCTGGCCTCTGGGGACACTGCCTGCATGTAGTGCACAAATATGCAGGCAGGCAAAATGCTTATACACATTACAAATAAATAATTTTTTTAATTAAAACAAAAGGAGAAGCTGGGCGGTGGTGGCACACACCTTTAATCCCAGCACTTGGGAGGCAGAGCCAGGTGGATCTCTGTAAGTTCGAAGCCAGCCTGGGCTACAGAGTGAGTTCCAGGACAGGCTCCAAAGCTACAGAGAAACCCTGTCTCGAAAAACCAAAAAAAAAAAAAAAAGAGAGAGAGAGAGAGAGAGAAAACAAACCAACAAGAGAAAAGCTGATCATGGTAGCTTTCAGGAGATGCAGGGAAATCAAGATCAAGATTATCTTTTGTTCATGTTCAAGGCCAGACATACAAAACAACAACAATAAATTGGAATTCTCTTTAGTATAAATCACAAAGCTAAATGGATTTTGTGTTCGTCTATATCCAACATGGTTAACTGCTTAAAAGAGAAACACACAATATAGGTAGGCTTACATATATGGTACATGAAACAAAAAATAGTACGTTAAATATTAGATACCCTGATTAAACTGCTTATTTTCCTTTCCAGGGTAGGCCTACTCCTCTTTCCATGAGAAGGGATACAAATTATAATGCCCTAAAATATTTCATAAAACCATGTTTCTAGGGGCCTATATGTACCACTAAACCTGAGTTCAGACCTGTACTGCCCACATAGAAGCCAGGTGTGCCCATGGCACCTGCGATCCTAGCATAGGAAATGGAGGGGGGGGTGACGGGACAGGAAGATGATGCCACACATGGAGAGGCAGATCCCTGGAGCTCACTGGCCAGCTAGTTTAGGCCACCAACAAGCTCTGGGGTCATGGAGAGACTGGATCTCAAAACAATAACGTGAAGAACAATAGAAGAAGCCCCCAAAGTTGACCTCAGGCCTCTGCACACATACATGTAACCACACAAAAAAGGATAAAAATAGCCTTGTATGTGGGTACAGCCTTTAATCCCAGGAGACAGAGGCAGGCAAATGTTTGTGAGTTCAAGGCCAGCTTAGTCTACACAGTGAATTCCAGGCTAGTCAGGGCTGCATGATGAGACCATGTCTCATATAAATAAATAAAAATAAAAATGCATATTTCAGAAATTGGAGGCCAAATAAACTTATGTGTTTTATTTTATGTATGTAATTATTTTTTTTATTTATTTATCCAGGCCATGTACATAATAGTACAAATGTATTTAGCGAGCAAAACTAGACTTAAACAGATAAGAGCTGATTGCAAAATTCTACATTAAACAGGAATTTTGAAAACACGTTGGATCTGGGTGTGGTGGGCCATGCCTATAATTAAAAAACTATGGAGGCCTAGACAGGAGGATCTCGAGGTTGAGTCATCCTTATGCTGCAGATACTGCCCTTGCCAAAGAAACACTAAACAAAGGTGGGTCTGATGGTTATTGTTTTAAGATAGGGGCTCTCTCTGCAATCCAGGCTGGTTTTGAACTTGTGAAGAACCTCCCAGATCTGCCAGGCATCCACATGCACTTTTTTGTTTGTTCTCTTGAGACAGACTTGAACTCACTAGTAGTGGCGAATGACCTTAAACTCCTGATCCTCCTGCCTCCACCTCTCCAGGGCTGGCATTATAGGATTGCTGAAGGTTTGTTTGTTTTTTAAAGACCGTAGTCCAGGCTGCTCTGGAATTCATTATACAGACCAGGCGGCTTTGACCTCCAGGTAATCCTTCTGTCTCAGTTTCCCAAGTCTGGGATTTACAGGCCTGATTCCAGGTTCAAAAATCTCACATTTTCACATTTAAAGAAACAGCAAACATTTGTAGCAAAATGTAAGCATGACCAATGGAAAACTACCAAACACGCCACCAATCACAGCACCAAATAACGCCACAGGTCGTCCAAATTACGCATTTGTTTAAGTCAACAACAGCTCCTTCCTCCCTCAAAGCTATCCCTCCGGGCGGCGTCAGAGAAGACAGAGGGATGATTTGTGACTTCTCCCCCTTTTTGATCCCTCGCCCCGGATCCACCTGCTTAGAAGTGTCAAGGAGACTAGAAATGGTTAACGGTGACCAGCTGCAGAAGGAGCCATCCCTGACAACCCACAGCTGAGCAAGCAAGGGCTGTTGATTCACCAACGCGTTCCTTTGGGGGGGGGGGGGGCCCGCGGGCAAGCCCTGGAAGGCTGGGCGACCGCACCTCGGAGAAGGTTCCTGGACAGGCAGAGTGGTCCTCTCGTCCACACACACACAGACACACACACACACGAGGCACACACACACACAGAGGCGCGCGCACACATACACATAGGCACACACAGGGGCGCGCGCGCGCGCACACACACACACACACACACACACAGAGGCACACACGCACACACACACACACGCACACACACACAGAGGCACACACACGCACACACGCACACACACACACACACGCACACAGGCACCGGTGAGAACGGTCGCGTTACCCACCCGCCCCTCCGGAGCAGCCCGGCACTAAGTCCCCCGGTCCCTCCCCGAAGATGGGCTCTGACGCGGCCGAGGCTGACCAGAGCGCCCGACCTCCGGCCGCCGCGGCCCGGCGTGCCGGGGACCCGGCCCAGAAACCGGCCCTCCACGCCACCTCCCCTCACCTGGCTCGGTCCCACCTGAGCGCGAGAGCTGAGGGGGCAAGACGCGGAGAAGGGGCGCTGACCTTGTTGCTACTGACAGCGGAGCGCCACATGCTGCCGCTTCCCGGACAGCGGCCCGAAGGACATGTTTTCCCCCTGGAGGAAGGAAACGGGAGGGCGCCGGCCCGGCAGCGGCGGGCGCGGCGGCGGGGGTCCCGGCGGGCTGTGCAGCCTCTAGCGGGGACGGTCCAAGGACTACATCTCCCAGGCTGCTCCGAGCCGCCCCTGCGTCGTGACCCCGGCGCGCACGGAGGCGGTGACTCTTACCTCACAGAGGTAGCTCCTCCGCCGGCAGCAGCTCGGCGCCCCGGCGGTCCATGGACCGGAACCCCGGGCGGACCGGCAGGAACCCGGGCCGCGACCGCCGCCTCCCGGCCCCAGGCTCCGCCTCCTCGCTCCCCGCCGCCCTCTGCGGAAGCCCGGCGGCAGCGCACCACCGCCGCGGGCCTCTGGGAGCCGCGCCGGGCGGCTGTGTGGCGGGGCCGCGGACGCCGCGGGACTGAGGCCTACTCCGCCGCCTCTCAGTGCTATTGTCCCCGGGCCTGGCCCTGAGCGGGGCTGCGGGCGAGGGCCGAGCTCGCCGGCTCCGCGGAAGATGCCGGACCAAGCCCTTCAACAGATGCTGGACAGGTAGGAGCCGCGGTGGGCTGGGAACCGCCGGCCTCCGTCCTGGGCCTGCCCATGCTGGCCTCGAGGCCCCGGGAGCGCGGATCCCGGCGTCCGCCAAGAGTTCAACTGCCCGGGGGGCCGGGAGAGGGGCTCCGAGTTTGGAGATGGCACGGAAGGGAAGACTGGGCGAGCGGCCTGGCTCGTAGACTTAGAAACTTAAAGGAGTGAGGTCGTCTGCGGCCGAAAGCCTGGTGTTGAGGTGAAGAGGCGCTATTGTTAACCCATAGAATTCATTTTCCCCCACCTCCTCCCTCGACTATGTTGTAAAGGGCTTGGCAGCGATGTCACTGGGAAGAACCAGATTATCTTTCTGGAGAATGATCCCTTGCACTTTTCAAGACTCTCTCCACAATGCAAGGATAGGCATTCTTTTTTTTTGAAAAGCCTGGCTTTCGTTTCTCCTTCCAACCCCCGTCGCATCCCCACCCCCAAGCCGTAAGGTCAGAATATCCACCAGGGAGCCTTAACGGTCACACTGGAGTAGAGGTTATGGAAAACAGCCACATGCATGCAACATTGAACACGTAGCACACTTGACGATCGCTGAGTTCCCAGAAACGTTTTTGGCTAGTGCTGGGACCAGTTGCCCATTCCTGGGGGTCTCCAAGCAGTGAAACTCTTTGCGAAGTCAACTGCACCGCCCTCTGCTGTTTCAATTCCAGCCAGTGAGTTTTTGGAGACTACATCCACTTTTTCTCCTAGGCAGCTTCTTGCTCTTCTGACCAATTGTTCGAACTAATCCATAATGTTTGTGGTTGCTTGAAACTCTGAATAGACTAACTGGCTACCCTGTTCAGCAGGGTAGCCAGTTCAGCTACTCTTTATGCAGAGTTAAGATCCAGCTACTGAAGTTGTTAAATGAAGGGCCTCTCTTGATTGAGATTATAGCCACTAACTGCTTGGGTGGGAGGCGCACAAAGCTCCACCAGAGAAGGCAAGAAGTTACTCCTCATATTTTATCCTACATCCTAGGTCAGGACCCGACTTGGTTCTTAGCAGGTGTTCTGTTGTCAGAACTGATGAACATGTTGGTTTCTCCAGCTGTTTAGGAGTCTGGTCGCTTATCAGGTTTTCCTTATGTTAGAGTTTATCATACTCGACTAGGTGTGGCATACTGAAGTATGCCCAGAGAGGTTACTGCCTGCCACATCGATTCCAGTTAAATGAGCCTCCAGAAGGTGTTGCATAGTTGTTTACTCTGATGGCACTCACTTTCACTTTTATGTGGTGACTTTTGGAAAAACCCTGACGTCTAGATGTTGTCCTGGCTTTTCATACATTCTTTAGAGATTCTCATAAAACCCCGTGAGTGCTAGTGAAGAATTTACAGGAACTTGGGAATCCCACTGCCCTTTGCAGAAATGTATATATGGAACTTCTTTTGCTCATTTTCCACTCCATTACCCGAGCTCATCCCCCTCCACTTCTGAACATTTTCCTCTCAAGTCCCCTCCTGTTTTCATGTCTGTGTGTTCCACTGAATTTAATTAGGATTGATTGCATAAGCATGGGTCTGGGTTATTTACAGGAGTGTGGGCAGGTTATCAGTGGCTACACCACTAAATTTACTCCCTCCTCGTCCAGCAGCCGATGTCCAAAGTTCCCTGGTGGGGCATGGGGTTTCATGAATCCCTCCCCTGTCCGTGATGCAATGTTGCTAGGCCCCATCTTGTGCAGGACTTTTACAGATGAGCGCAGCTCCCTGTGGTTCATGAGTAGAGAAGGCCGGGCAACTGAATTTCACAGCACACCTGCTCATCACCCAGTTCTTAGATTCTTTCTGCCCCCTTCCAATTTTTGTTTTTGGAAGCTTGAAATTTTTCACTATAAAATAGTAGGGAAAGCAAACCTATATTTATATATAATTTATGAGAAAGACGACTGTACAACTCAACTCTTCCTGCTGCTACCAAACTCAGTTTATACAGTGCTGGGAATTGAAGCCATGGTTCTATACTAGGTAAGCACTAATGCTGAACCACATTCCCATCTCTTAACATTGAAAACTATTCTGATATACATAGCCATACTTAGCTACTCAATAACTTAAGAGAACATAGGAAGTTCTAGATAGTATGCCCATATTTTGTTGCCAAAATATATATCCAGCTTGAAAGGAGACAAATATACTTAGAAAATTGCCTGTTGTGTTATGTATTTATACTAACAACATCCCAGCTACCCTATTTGCTCATATACTTAGCAGTTGCGGTTTTGTGCAGAAATGTTAGTCATCCACAATAATGTGAATGTACTTTAATTGAATTGTACCTATAAAATGGTTAAAGCGTTAAGTTTATGATCTGGATGTTTTACCATGGTAACTTTTTTAATGAATCAGAATTGAAGTTTTTTTTTGTTTTGTTTTTTTTTTTTTTGTTTTTTTGTTTTTTAAAGATTTTCTAATACTGGCTTCAGCATGAGAGTTAAGAGCAAAGAAATGAGCTGGGCAGTGGTGGCGCACGCCTTTAATCCCAGCACGTGAGGGGCAGAGGCAGGCGGATCTCTGTGAGTTTGAGGCCAGCCTGGTCTACAGAGCAAGTTCCAGGACATCCAAGGCTACACAGAGAAGCCCTGTCTCGAACTCCACCCCACAACAACAACAACAAAAAAAAAGCCAAGAAATGTTCAAGGAAAGAAACGTATATTTGAAAGTCTGGATGTGGGTTTCTTAGAGTCCCAGAGACTAAGTCATATCCAAGTATGGGTAAGAGGTCTTACAAGGGAGAGTTGCCCATAGTTTAAAAAAAAAAAAAAACACACACACACACAAAAAGCAAAACAAAGCAAATTTACTTTGCATATGTGGAGGTCAGAGGTCAGCTCTCTTCTTTCACAAACTTGTGTCCCAGATACCGAGGTACTGTTACATTCTGAAGCATCTTGAAAAATCTTGCCAATTTTTCCCATTATAATTGAAAGTTTTAACTTGTGCATATTGAAGTCCATGTTCTACAAAGGTTGGGAATGCATCCATTTGTAGTATCTGACTATACAGTCAGCCTTTCCCACGTTGCATATTAAGCCAGTTTGTTCTGATAGAAACCTGTTGTTGGGGGCTTTTTCTTTTTTGGGGGGAGTGGTGGGCCTGTAACCCAGCTCCTAAATAAATCACACATGGAGACTTTTTCTTAATTATGAATGCCCAGCCTTAATTTGGCTTAGTTTCTTGCCACCTTTCCTTAACTTATCCCATCTACCTTTTGCCTCTGCGCTTTTCCTGTTCTCTTCTATAAATCTTACTCTGGTGCTGCTTGTGTAGCTGGGTGGCTGGTCCCGATGTCCTCCTCCTCTGGCTCCTCCTTTTCATCCCTCTTCCCAGATTTCTCCTATATATTCTCTCTGCCTGCCAGCTCCACCTATCCTTTTTCCTGCCTTGCTATTCGCCAATTCTTTATTAGACCATCAGGTGTTTTAGACAGGCACAGTAACACAGCAACGCAGCTTCACAGAGTTAAATGCAACATAAAAGTAACACACCTTAAAATATTATATTACAGAAACCAATTGTCTAAGTGAAAAACAATAATAAGTAACAAGCTTTAATTAGAAGTTGTTCCAAACCACTTACACAAACTTTGGTGGAGGGAAGGGGGTTCTCTATGAGTTAAACCAGTATCAAATTTCTATAGAGAGCTGCGGAGCGGATGTAGCTCAATTGGTAAGTTTGCCAAATACACACAAAGCCCGAATTCATCCCCAACCTAAGTGTAGTAGAGGCAGGCAGATCAAAAGTTCAAAGTTACCCTCAACTGTAGAGAGTGTTCAAGCTAACCTAGACGACATAAGATTGTCTCCAAAATAAATAAATAAATAAATAAATAAATAAATAAATAAATAAATAAATAAATAAATAAATAATAAAAAGAAAACGGGGTTTGGGAATTCAGAATAATTATGCAAGAAAAATTAGATTTAGGACCCAGGCTTGGTGGTACATTCCTCTAATCCTATCACTCAGGAGGTAGAAATGGGCCTCATCCACATAATAAGACCCTACCTTTAAAAAAAAAAGTTTTTAAGAGACTGGGTCCTGCTATACTGCCCAGAGTAGCCTCCAACTTCTTGGGCTTGTCTAACTTACCAAGTTGCTGAACTGCACATATTTGCCACTGTGTCCAATCAGAAAAATGTGTTTAAATTAGCTACTCAATAGAATTATTTAGTTAGAATGGCTATTCTGATACTGTGAAGCTTTGTGTTGGATTTAACACTTTCACTATTGAATACTTTGTATACACTTATCACCAAGGGGAGGGGCGCTCCCAAGACAAAGCTAGAAAAACAGTGCCTGTTACCGCCATTCCGTCCTTCCTCATCCCTTAATATTTACCCTTCCTTGTGCTCCTTTCTGTATGTTCTACTGTACCCACATTTCTTTACATATGGCTTGGGATAAAGAAAGTGAGACACTCAGGGCTTTCAGGCCTTGTTTGACTGGGTGCGTCAATGTATGGAATTTCTCTTATACAGCAGAGATCCCTTCTCCAAGGTTCTAGTTTCCTTGGCTTCAATTTACTTAAGGTCAACAGCATATATTATAGTCTAGGACATGACTATGAGGGTTCTGAAGAAATTCATTGAAATGTAGACTTTGGGCCTACTTCATTTTGCTACATGAATTTTAATGTAGGTTCTTTATAATTTACTTGTAAAAAAGGAATTATTTTAATTTAAACATAATAGGCTTGAAATTTCTATATTTTAAATATAATAAATATTTAATCCAGGAAAAGAAGTAATTTCTACCTGTGATATTGGAAACATGTAGATCCAGATTTAT